TTTTTTTTTTTTTTTTTTTTTAACAGGTTTGTCTCTGGGAAAGAAATCAAAAAGAAGAAGTGTCTTTTTGGGCTTCAGGTTCGAGCCCCGCCCCCACTGTCGTCGGATTCGTCGCCCCTCATCACCGAGCCGCCCATCAACATCTCCCACCGCAGAAGGTCAGCGTCTCATTTGGTCACAAAACTAAGAGCAATTTTTCAATCTGCCCGATTATGATTTTGAAATGGGCTCATAGTGGTCTATCTTGTTCACTGTGCGCCATTGGTAACTCGGACAACGTTGGATGTCAATCCCGCCGTCAATGAGAGGCTCTGTGAAAAGAAATTGTCAATCCGCATCTCATCTTCATGCTTGGGTGATTTACACCCAAAATGGGAAAATGTTTTTTTTTCTTCTCCCTCGAGGCCTGTCTACATCTCATTAGCATAGTAATGAATGTGTGTGTTGATGTTTTTTTGATTTGGTGCGTTTGCGTTTCAGCCCGCTGTCACTGCCGTGCCAGAGGAGGCTGTCCGGACCCGAGTCACGCAAATCAAAGCGCCGCATCATGGAGACGCAGGTCAGTGCCCGTGCTGTCCAAATAAGCCGTCAATCAGTCCGGCGCCGCTCGTTTTGCAGTCTAGGCGTGCGGCTCGCCGCCTCCCGCCGTGGCTCATGCTTGACGCTGCGTTCAAAACGCAGGACAAGTTCACACTGAATATTTATCGAATGACATGACAGAATAAAATACATCAGACTCACCAGAGAGGCGAGTGATTGACCGCTGTGGACATTTGTATTCATCAAGCGTTTACTGCTCGAGACAAATACATTTGTTTTTTTTCAGGAAGAAGGCATGGCACATTTTCTGTGTAAGCTGCAGGTGGATGGCAAGAGATGGTTTGAGCCAGAACTCGCCCAAACGTTGTTCAACTTGCATCATACACAGGGAATCTGCCTCTAACCTGTGTTCTGGGTTTTGGTCACGTGACGTTCACAACTTTTGCCGGCGGTACTCGCGATGTTAATTTTGGTCGCCGGCAGAGAGCAATATCACCCGACATGACAGTGCTTTAGGATTGATGAATTATCATGTTTGAGTCTTTAAGGGGTTTTCCATACTGCACTTGGCAGCCGCTCATGGACAACGGTGCCTGAGTGCCAGCATGCCCATATTTGGAAATGCCACCAGGAAGTAAACTCGAATTTAGATGAGAAGTAGACCGCATCTCAACAAAAACTATCTTTGATTGTTGCAAAGGAAATCCTTGTTGAATATTGGATGCACACTTACTGTAGGCGAACCGAGCCAGTGTTTTTTAATTTTTTTTAATTTTTTTTTTATGGTTGCTCATTATGGTCCAAGTATTTTTTTTTTTTTTAGGTGCTGCTTGGTGTAAAAAGTTTGAGAATCACTGCAATAGACTACGGGCAATAAGACAACCACCAAATTATTGGTGGTAAATGTAGATCAGCGTTTTTGATCACGTTTATGGCAACACGCCTCTGCTTTCAAGTCCACAGCGACATCAGATGTATCATTTCAAAGTGGGCCGCCAATATCCCGCTCATCAGTTGCAGCCGATTCCCGCCGACGACGCCACGCGTGTGGGCTCTTCTATTTTTACAAACGTGTCGTTAACTGCATTGATGGGCGTCACCGATGAAAGAATAGAGAAGTAAAAAATGATCAATGGGGGTTGACTGTCTACGCATTTAGTTGAACACAAGAGATTATGTTGAGGAGGAGTCGCGATCATGCTTTGTCTCTCATGTCCAGGCTTGTCCGGCCCCGGTTTCGTCCAACCCCATCGAGCTGCTGCCATGTTGCCACGGCTACATGGGAGGGGACAGCCTGTACGCCCCTGCCAAGCCCGAGGAGGAACTCCACCTGAGGTGACGCACCTTTTATCACGTTTTTTTAGCGGTCACGGGAGGGTTAAAGTGTCACTTGACCCGTTTGGTGCTGGACTGTACAACCTGGGATCATGTTACTGGTTCGAAAATATAAATCAAAACCTTACGCAGACACTTTTCCTTGGCAAGTTTTGAAGGGATTGCTGCAAAGGTCGATTGTGTAAGTCAAGTACAGTTTCAAAGTCAGACAAGAGCAAATTGAAATTGAGCCGAAAAGGGGAAAAAAAAAATGCTCATCCGTCATCTTTATTGGCCAAGTCTGCAGTAACAAGCAACTACGATAAACAAAGCCATGACATATAGAAATATTTTCCATAATGTCAGAGTACCATTGTGCACTAGTACCACACCCAATGACAGCTGTGCGACAATGTGCAGAGTCATCGAGCAGCGATAAATCCATCAATGGCGCAATGCAATACTAGCTGATGCAGATCAATTTTAAGTCACCAGTCGCAGCGATTGCAGTACAATTTAAGTGTGCAGTTGTGCAGAAAGTCCTTGACCCCTTTTTAAGTGTCTGGTGCTGTGGAATATTGATCAATGACAATTGTTCAAGTATGTAGAGAGCTGGGGCTCCAATGATCAGTGCGGTAACACTGTCCCACGGGGGTGTGCAGAAATGCAAAAAGTCACAATAGATTTCAGTCACTGTTTAGGGATTTAATGGCGAGAGGGCAGAAGCTGTTTGAATGTCTGCTGTTTTTGGTGTGCATGGTTTAAATCGCGCTTACCTGAAGGGATGGTGGAGGTGGTGGGCAAGGTGTGTGGTGGGGGGTCCAGTAGGATTTTCCGTTCCATTGTCTTGGTCCTCGCGGTGTCCTTGAGAGTGAGTCGGGCGGTACCAATGATGAATTGAGATCACTGAAGTCCAGTTGCTCAAGTTTGAGGTGAAAAACCTTTGAAAGGAACATAGAGTTCATCGATTCAGAAATTTTGACACAATGCCATTGATATTTTCAATAATTGTACAAATAAGTATGCAAAACACAAGAGAAATGAACACAGAAATAAAACATCCAGTGAAAGCCAGTCTGTTTCCAATAAATTGCAAAGTGCGAATCAGGTCACCCACTCCCGTCAATTTTTTCAGCATGGTCGCGAAATAAGTTCGACTCACTTTTTAATATTTTTTGCTGGGTTATTTAGAATTTTTTTTTTTAACATGAATCAGATATATATATTTTTTAACTTTTAACGATTACCACTCCATTTTATTATGAATTCCTTTTTTATGTTGATCACGTTTTAAAGGTCAAAGTAAACTTTCCTCCAAAATTATGAACTGTCAACATTCAAAAATGAAACTAAATGTTTGCCGTGTATACCAAAAGTGAAGAACGTGGTACAATGGCCCCTCGTTACTCATTGGAAATCGCAACCAGACCCTGGTCTGACTGCGCAGAGCATTAAATCCGTGTATCACTGACGACTGCTAAAATAGCGATGAAAATAAAAATGACAAAAACGCTGCTTTTCCTTTTACAGTTCTCCCCCGAAGCGGATGTACGCACTCTACCACACGGCACTCTCCCGAGGTCTCCATTCCTGCAACAGGTCTTTGCTCTTTTCTGCAGTATGATTATGTCACACTGTCCTAACTATTTTAGTCATGGGGGAATCTTATTCATCAATTAATTATAAAAATCTAGAGATTAATCAAGAATTAAAATAATAATAATCGACTCCTCCCCCAGCATGGACGATAGCTGCCGAGTAGCCCCGCCCTGCTTCCCGTACCAGCTGACCTCGGGCCAGCACCTGCAACCGGGACATAAGCAAGCAGAGGCCATCCTGCTACACGACTTGCCGCCATACCCGCAGGCAGACGCGCTCGGCGGGGGCGGCGACGGGACGGAAGACGGCCGGCTTCCCAGGAGTTGGAGCGGAGGCGAGGCGGTGAGAATCCTGGCCAGACGCGTGACGCCGGACGGGAAGGTGCAGTACCTAGTGGAGTGGGACAACGTGGGCTTGTACTGAACTCCACGCACTGACTGAAAGGCACGAAATAGGGAAGAAAAGGCGGCAAAATGCAGCGGGTTGCTGCCGCTTGGGTCGGTCCTATGTCCTCATGCGTTCCTGGGATGTTTGTACTCTTGCCTTTTGGAGATCGAGGCTCCTCCAGCCCAGCCGCTGACAGAGCACCGAGCGGGCAGATCCACTTTCAAGCTTTACAAAACGGCTACAAATACGTCAAAAGCTGATTCGTCCTTTCTTGTACAGTGGTGCCTTGAGCTATGAGTTGAATTTACGCCGTGACGACGTCATTGACACAAAACACTCGTATCTCAAACCATCTTTCAGACTTGAATCAGGTGCCAGCTGCCCCCGCCCCACCCTCTAAAAATCCAATAACAATTGTTGTCATGTCTTCTTTAACGGTAAAAATAACACTCTGTGACAGTGTACTTTCTAAAAACATGTCATGATGACATCATTTCATAGAATGGAAAGAACACCAGTTCAAGGTGTCCCCCGCCTCCTGCCCGTGGACAGCTGGGATAGGCTCCAGCACACCCCCGCGTCCCTTGTGAGGATAAGCGGATCGGAAAATGGATGGATGGATGAAAGAATTCAACTGTTTTTGTTGCACTTTGGCAGTATCCAGATAGATAGAAACTCTGAAATATTAGTCATTCTTTGCAAAGGATAAAGAATGTATGCCCGCGCATATTGCTATTATCTGTCTACATGTATTGCTTCACATATATTCATTGCTTTAAGGGTGTTAAAACCACCACATCAATGCTAGTCGCTAGCCCCTCTATGGCGTTTCCCATTCTGTGTTTGCTTTCAGGTCACCATTCTCCTTGCGTGCAGTCATGTGGTTGTTTTAACAACATGTTATCCACTCTTTGCTTTTTGTTTAGTTTCACAGTCAAAGTCAAGTTTCTGCTCACACTTCAAAACCAAAGCACACAAAACAAAACGGCCGAATGACAGCGTGTGTCTGAGAAAACTGGTAGGACAGATCTCTCATCTCACCCTGAAGTAATGGAAATGCTATTCATCTGTTCCAATTTCCACCCCCTCAAAATCCGCCCCCCCCAAAAAAAAAATTGTAATTTGATTTTTTTAACAATAAAATAGCACCCTATAATATTGTTCTTTCTAAAAACATTGTAATGACCTCATGTCATAGAACATCAAGAATGATGCCGTTTTTGTCACGTCAGTAGTAGAATACGTAGTACAGGGTCACTCTTTGTAGAGGATAAAGCATATATGCCTTGGAGTGTTAATTATTTTTGTTACTCCACCATTTGTATTCCAACATCCATTAGCCCGTCGATGGCATTTTGTATTTGTTGTCAACATTAAACTAACTAGACTCTTGAAAAGACACGTTAAATGTTTTTGCTCATGGCAAAGAAAAAAAATGAATACAACGATGTGAACAACGGCTCAGCCGGGTCACTTGTATCTCAAGGCACCTCTGGGTGATATAGAGTCACCAGCACCAAGTTTTCATAAGGTTGGCCACGGGAGAGCTCAGCTCAGGCTGAGGGGGGTTGCAATTTTCCACGGCGACAAGGGAACGCGCCGGCGTCCGTCGGGAACACAAGTATGACAAGTCGCAACTGGTGTAAATGCGAGGGCCGTGTGACTCTCCAATTTAAAAAAAAAAAAAAAAAAAAAGATCTCGGTGCAATCCGATTCAAGAATGGTTAGATTTTTTTTCCCGATATGGTACAGCGGAGTTGGAGAGTCTTCATGATCAAAATGCATGCGAGTACACAGCGTCAGTGGGCAATCGAGGCAGCCATTTGATATTGTGATTCAAAACAATACTTCAGCAAATTCGGAATGACTTGTAGCCTATAGACCTACCTGCGGATGGAATAGTGAAGCTGTAGACTCGGTGGCCAAAATGTACGAGAGTACGTTGTGCACGATGCGCACCGGATGGGGGCGATGGAATGTGATTAACTGAAGTGGATCCAACTCAAAATATACAACCACACTTTTAGATAAGCAAGAACATGTTGATTTCAGCACATTACAAAGTGAAATCTGTACTGACCCGTTCAGTCCAGTTATGTGGTGGCCCCAAGCCATCGGGCCATCGTTAATGTTGAAGCCGGTCTGCTTTTATTTTGGAAAATAGTGCTCAACATTTTGACCGATTTTCTGATGAATGTCAAAGACCAAACCAGTCATTGAATCACAATCAAGTGATGTTTGTGCCCTCTCTGCACTGTCAATTTGAAATCATTTCCTGGTATTGACTAAAAGGATGGAAATGTTTACTTTTTATCTGATTCATAGATTAATTGAAAAAAAAAAAGAAAATTAAAAGATTAATCGATTATTAAAATCTTTGGCAGCCCTAAAAAAACAACTTCAGTGAGAAAAAGGAAGTTGGTGACGGATTTTTTCGCCGCTCATCACACGAGTTTATGCCGCACCATTCCAGACCTCTAAATTTCGTAAACTGAGGACCTGCCTGCTAAAAATAAAACAAGTCACCTGGAGGTGGACAAATAGTCCTCTCATTGGATTATGTTCTGTAGAGATTGTAGCTTGCTTAACTAATATTTGATACATTTTTGTCATACGTTTACATTTAATCCAATGTATGTATGTATGTGTCTTTTATTATTATTATTATTATTATTATTATGATTAAAATTACGTAGCCACATTATACTGCTGTGGTATTTCTCCTGTAGTTGCAAAATCGTTCTTTGGGTTGGACCAATCAGATCGCCTTGCGATATAAGACAAACAAACCTCTTGACATTCCAAATGGACAACAAATATTTCGATTTTCAGGAAATTAATTTGATTTTTTTTCTTTATTTTTTTTTTGACACTGCTGCAGTCGATTTGGCAAATTTGGTCGACAAAACGCTGAAATCGGACGCAAAAGATTGCTGCCACACTTTTGTGGTGTTGCGGAAGTTTCTGATGGAAAACAGATAATTGGAACCTTAAGTATTCAATCAAGGACTGTCTATTTTTTGCATGTCACAAAGGGAGGGAGGGGCAGTTTTTTTTTTTTTTACGTTAAATTATTTCAATGTTTGTCATGAGAATAGTGTGGGTGAAAAGTTTCAGAGTTTCTATTTTCTACAAAAGCACTGTGTTTGATACGGCACATGCAATGATTGTTTATTTGAGTTTGGCAAGTTGCATCAGAGGAGACAAACAATGTATAAGTTGTTTTCTGTTGTGCCAACGCAGGAGACTGCTTCACACTTTTCAGCCCCTGAAGTGAGTTTGTAGCTTTGTATTAGGGACGCAAAAGGAGGGGGGGTTGCGACGGTGTGTAATGTACTTTAGTGTGTTTTCTAATGCTGTTTGTACCTGTCAAGTGCTCGTTTTAGGTTGTTCTCTCAAAAGGAGGAGGGAGGGAATAAAGACGCACATCTCGAATATTGAGAGCCGTCATTTTTGTGTGTGTTTTTTGGGGGGTTGTGGGGAGATGAGCGTGGAGGTGCTGCCAGCTACTGGTAGCGTATTTACGACGATTGTCAATACAATCCGGAAGAGAGAGGGAGGCCCTTACGAGTCGTCCAATTTACAGTATTTGTCATCAACATGCGTTTGTTTGGGGTTGCACCACAGATCTGGGTTTAGAGAAGGTTTCGTAGGCCGCTGGCTGCTTCTTTCTGAGGGGAGTAAACTCTCCTCCGAATATGGCACCAAGCCAAAGTTACTGAATGATCGTAGTTGCTCTTTTCTTTGGTTACTTTTCATATATATATATATGTACACACACACACGCGCGCGCGCGCACACACACACGCACACGCGCGCGCGCACACACTCTAGAGCTCGACGCTTTTTGAGTTCAACCTACATTGTGAAATGTGCTGTGTTTACTTTTTACCACTAAGTGGCGACAATTCTTCAACAAAAGCTCGATGCAGCATTTTCGTTCCCTCTGAAGACACACACGCACGCACGCACCATCTATCTGTCTATTCTCTATTTGTATAGCTCTCTCTATTTATACACACATATACATGTACAATTTAAAGAAATGACAGTTGCCAATCAAATGACATTTTGTGCTTGTCTCACCTCAAAGAAAAGAACGCCATTTTTGCTCTTCGGTTTCTTCCGTCAGATGCACATCCGGTTTTCAGTCAGGCACCAAAACGGAGGCAAGAATGAATAGTGCTGACTGTTTTCACTACTTTGAGGCTTTTCGTTGCCCGCACATAGAAAAGTACCTTCGAGCTTATTTGCTAACCGACAAAACGAAGTTTAAGAAGGAGGAATTGCCTTGGAGTAAGTAGGCTCCTTACACGAAACAATGCCATTGTTTGAATGTCACGGCAGCCCAGCTGAAGGCGCTTATGAGCTCCTCTGAACAAGAGTGAAAGGACTATCTTCCTCATCAGGTTAGCTTGTCCTTCATAGATGGGAAAGACCAAGCGCCATGGCTGGCTGTGCTTACAGTGGCACAACGGGAAGCTTGTTCACATTTTGTTGGTTACAGTCGACGGTCCTTCGCGGGCAGCCGCTTTTAAATCCCTGCACATGCGCAGTTGACTGCGTTATTCGGAATCCACTGGAATTCTAGGCAGGACATGCCCCGCTGTAAAATGATTGGCTGCGGGACACGCGCCACTGCTGTATGATTGGCTGCTGCATCCAGGTATGACATGACTTTCTGTTTTTTTTTTTGAATAATAAATTTGAATTATTTTATTGGTCTTCTCTTAAAGTTGACATGCAGATGAGAATGGTTTGCCTACATAAATGAAACTCAACTGTTCCATGTTTAAAATCTCTCTCTCTCTCTCTCTCTCTCTCTCTCTCTAATAAAAGCGCACATAGATCCAACTATTTAATGGTTTTCATGTGGCATGTTGAATAGTTAACTGTCTAGCTTCACCGTCAAATATACAAAAGAGAAGGTTACAGTAACATTTTGTCTAGCTGTCATTTAGCCAGTCAATGCCAGGCGAAGAGAATATCCTTCACAAAAACTGGCTGAATTTTTATGAAAAGACATACTGTGGAAGCATTTTGCTGCCAGCCCGCCACACCAAATACATTCTTCTTTTTTTTTAAGCTTACTTTTGTTATAATGTGATGAAGTTTGACACTACAACGTGCTGACTTTGACTTGAGCATTCGTTAAAACAAAACAAAGCAATTCCTTCCAGCAAGCCGAACAAACATACCAACATAGCGCTGCACCAGTGACATGAACTTGAAGGAATTACTTGTTTTGTTTTGCTAAATGCACCAGTCAGTCATCAAAATTTCACGGGAAATTACCATGGTAAAACGTTAAAATGTGAAATAAATCGCATTAAAACTTGACATGAATCACGTTAAACCGTGAAACTTATCACCCATTGGCACGGTCACGTGGTCACTTGTGGGTTTGCTGCCCTTCCCGCCTGGATGCAGCAACCAATCATAACACCGCGGGGCGTGTTCTGCCTGCAACTGCAGTGGG